GGAGGGAGGAAGGGGTGAAGGAAGAGGGACGGGGCACGAGAAGGAGGGGAGGGCGGCGGCAAGGATGCGCGGGCTCCGAGGGTCATGCCGGTTATTGTGGGAAGGGAGAGGGAGAAGGACGGGCGATCGTGGAGGGCTCTGTCACGATTGTCAGGGAACGGCCCCGCGACCGGGGTCGGCACTGAAGCGCCTTCTCCTATTGATCCCTCCGACGCCTCAGGCTCCTGAGGCTGAGGGTGGCGGTCATGATTACCCCCTGTGTCATTGGGACTGTGCCATGCATGCATTAGCGCCGTCCAAGCGGCCGCACAGGGCGGGCATAAGGGGCCATCATACGTGTGTCGCGCCTCCGTTTGCAGCAGGGACTGCACGTTGGAAGAAGGGGAGGAAAATACCCCCTCCTCGAGGGCTGCCGCGTGCGAAGGTGGAAAAGGATGTGTGGGTGTGCTTTGCATGTTGTCTGCTGGGAACACAGGGGTGGGAGGCGAGGTAGCTGCCTTCGCGTCCTCTCCATCAGCCGTTGCCATGGAAAGTGCTGTTCGGGATAGCTACCTCGACCCCACGCTCATCCTTCCCCTGCTTGTTGTCTGAAGGGCCCCGATCCCCGCGCTTGGTCCATGTGACATAGAGAGGGAGAGAATACGAACGCGTGAGCATGACGGCCGAAAGGTCTTATCCCAGTGAGCCGACGCTAAGGGCATATGAGCTGAACCCAGGCTCGAGGCAACAGTTACCATGATCGGCATACATGCCATGCGGTCCAGGCCACACAGACAATAAAAACCTCGAAAACCCCATCGATGCATCCAACATTCACACGATCGCGGTGACAATAGGGTGAAACCTTGTTGCGCGTCCTTTGTGAATGACCAAAAAGTTCCCATTGGGAAAACGGGGGTAATAGTATCCTCCCCTCGCCCTTTCCCTGTCACAGCGGACAGGTGGGGCGGGCGAGCAGAACAGGCAAAAAAGAAGCCCATGCCCACCCAGGTGTCCATTTCTAGCCTTTAACTGTACAGATACATGTTGACACAACACTCGTATGGCCACAGGGAGCAAATATCAGGTACCATCAAGACTGTGTCTTTTCGAATGAACCCTCCCAGAGTCTCCTCCCCACCCTCTCCCCCGCCGTGCGAAGAAACGCCTTTTGCACATTCGCCTCCCCGTTCCCAGATTGATCGACCGGAAAGCATTGCCTACACACCGCACGCCTGGTGCCGTCGTCGACGCTGCCATCTCCAGGGTGGAATTCTCGTCCTTTGGTTGGTTGTGGTCATCTTAATCGCAGTGGATTACTCACCAGCAGGCCATCGGCACGTGGCTCGAGTACTTTCCACTTTCTTGGAATGGGTAGGCCGCCACCCTCTCAGAGGGGCCATGGCATTTGCAGCCGTCTACGCCTTGAGCGTCGTTTTCTTCGTGCCTGGAGCCGCTTTGACCCTGGGGGGGGGGTTTCTCTTCGGACAAGCACTGGGCGTGGGGCCCGGTACGGTCTTTGCCTCGCTCGCAGTCTTTGTGGGGGCGAGTGCGGGGGCCGTGGCCGCATTCAGCCTCGGCCGATGGCTTTTGCATGAAACAGCCCAGTCCACGCTGAACCGGTACACTATACTACGGGCCTTGGACGCCTCCTTGCACGGGCACCGGGGCTTGAAAATCGTGCTCCTCCTGCGTCTATCGCCCCTCGTCCCCTTTACCGCCCTGAATTACATGATGAGCGTCACCTCCGTGTCCCTAAAGACGTACACTCTGGGCCTGGTGGGGATGGTACCGGCCGTCGTCGCCTACTCGTTCCTGGGGACCACGGCGGGGGGCTTGACCAGGGAGGCAGGGGGGGAGAGCTCGGTGGAGAGAGGGGTGAAGATTGCGATGTACGTGGTGGGAGCAGTGGCCTTGGTGGCTGCTGTAGGCGTGCTTTCTCGGTTCGCGAGGGAAGAATTGCGGAAAATTCAGGATGAGGGGGAGGGGGCGCGGGGGGAGGGGAGAGATGTGGAGGGAGGGGGGGAGGGAGAGGTGAAGGAGGTGGGAAGAGGGAGGGAGGAAAAGCAGGAGGTAGAGAGGGAGAAAGAAGCGGAGGAAAGATAGGGGAGTCATTGCGAATGTGATGCGAGGTAGGGGAGGGAGGAGGCCCTGGCGCAGGAGCGGAGCGTGGATGGGGATGCCGAAGGCGGAGGGAGGGAGGGAGGGAGGGAGGGAGGGAGGGAGGGAGGAATGGCTTATCACGCAGGAGGTTTTGGGAGGGTCTTAAGCTCATTGATGGGCTTGGAGGGGTGAAATTTGGCCGCCCAGACAAGGAGTCGCCGACATGCGGGAGTTTCGCGCCATTTTGGGGCGCCCCGCCACTCCTGCGACGCGAGGCAGGGAGTGGGGGCATGAGCCTCTCTGCGACGAACTGCATCCCAATCGAGCACATGACGAGAATGCGTGCCCGTCCGATTCCGCACGTGCACCTCCCCGCACGTGCTGTGTGAGATCTCTGCACCCTCTCGGCTCCTCACCTTCGCCCCCGCCACCCCACAGGTCCTCCCTCCCCGCCCTCCCTCCCGCCCTCCTTCTTTTCCTCCTAGCGGTCAAGCCCTTCCCACATGTGCCGCTTTTGCGAGCAAGCCAAAGCTCAAATCGCCGGCATCGCCCGCCCTGGATCCACTCCGCCCGCTTCCTCCTCCTCTCCCTTCTTCCCTCCCTCTTCCCCTTCCTCCCCTGCTTCCTTCCCTCCCTCTTCCCCTCCCTCCTCTTACTCTTACGCTGGCCTTTCCTTCTCCGAACGCAGAGAGATTGAGTCCTGTGCGTTGCTGCGCTCAAAACGCCTCCCTGTCACGCGTGCGTACTGCTTTCCCTCCTTCCTCCCCTCCCTTCCTCTCTTCCCTCTTCCTTTCCCCCCTGCCACTCTCCCTTCTTTTCTGTCTCCCTCCTTTCCTTCTTCCCTTCTTCTCTGCTTTCCTTCATTCTTTTTCTCTCTTCCATCCCTCACCCTGAAAGCACCGCCTGTGCCCCTTTCCCTCCCTTTCTCCCCCCCTCCCTCCCTCCCTGCTCTGTCTCTTACCCTGCATACTGCCTTCTCCATTGTCCTCTCCCACTGTCTCTTACCCTGCATACTACCTTCTCCATTGCCCTCTCCCAGTCCTCTGTGGTTATTTGGGCTCCGGCAAGACGACGTTTCTCAATTATGTGCTTCAGGGCAGTCACGGGAAGCGTCTGGCCGTGATTGAGAATGAATTCGGCGCTGTCAGCATCGACGACGCCTTGCTACCTTCCCCTCCCTCCCCCGCTTCCTCCGCCCCGTCCTCCCCTTCCTCCTTGCGTGCGCGGGCCCCGGAGGAGGCTCAGGTGGTCCTGATGCCCAATGGCTGTCTTTGTTGCCGGGCGCGACAAGATTTGGTCGAAGCCTTCCTCCACCTCCTCGCCGTCAACACAAAGCAGCAGAAAGGTTGCACTTCCTCCCTCCCTCCCCTGCTCCTCCGCTCTCTCGCGCATATTGCTTTTGCCTCGCACCTTCTCCTCCGTTCCCGCCTTACAGTCGTTGCCTGTTGCCCTGGGGTCGAACTAATGACAAAACCTTTCCCTCCCTCCCTCCCTCCCTCCCTCCC